ACGTGGACGCGGGGTGGTGATGATGAAGGCCCGGCGGCTGTCATCATTTGTACGTCATGGCCTCGACAACACGCACACAGCTCACAGGTCACAGCACAGATATGTACACATGGGTATGGTGGTATTGCGCGACGGGCAAAGACGCGCCCGCGGAAGCAGTGCCCGTCGCAAGGCTTCCCTCCCAGTTCCCAGGCGGTGCACGCACCCGTCGCGCGCTCTGGAGCAACAAGTCAACGACGACACCGGACGGCCTACCCATCAGCCTCGCCTTGCGGTCGCGGTCGCGGTCGCCGACGGAACCAGGCGCCTTTTCGGCTTCAATGCAGCGATGCGATGGCGCCGGGTGCCCGCGACGCACGCACGGCGTTCGCCCGGCCGGCGGCCAGCCAAGCTGCGACGCGGACGCGACGCGACGCGACAGCGAGGCCGAGAACCTGGCCAGTATCGCGACGCTGACGTGCACGCCTCCGCCACGGACGGACGGACGGACAAAAGGTCTTGCGGATTTGTCATTCTTGCATCTTGCCAGGTGTGGACGGGTACAGTAGCAATCGATGTACGAGTACGGCCGACGCCTGGCTGGTGGTGGTAGTGGTAACAAGTCCCACCAGCATGCCACCATCGGTCGGCAAGGTCCAGTGAATGGGCGGCTGATTTGGATTGGCAAACGCGGCAGGGGGGCTGCAGCAGTGCAGTGCACTACGAGCGTCGCCGCCGCCAACATGCTCACGTGGGAACCCGTATGTTCTCACGCCACTTTTCACGCGCGGAATCGGAAGGGGGAGGCGGCGGCGGCGGCGGCGCTCATGCTCATCAGTGAGCTTCACGCTGGATCCGTAGAAAGGAACTTGTAGTGATGAGCACGAGGCGTGCTGTGCTGGGTGCCCAGTGACGTCCTGTGGTCACGCACACTCTCTCAACTTTAGGTTGCTGATGTTCACAGGTCGGTTTCTGGGCTGATAAGCCCGGCTAGTATTGGTTTGTTGTGAGAGGAAAATACTATTGGTTGGCTGATAAGCCCTGGCTCAAACCAACAAGCGAACAGGCTGGTTGATGGAAAGCAGGCAGGGTAGCGTAGCTTTTGTTACTTCAGGTCCAGGTTGCATCAGGTCAGGTGCACAACCGCCCAGTTCGGCCGGACGGCCGCCCAGGTTAATCGGGGGAGGCATCATCTCGAGAGCACCCGGGGCAATTTTTTTTAAAGATCCGAGAACTTATGTTCCGGCTTTTATATTAATTAGAAGAGGAGAATTGACCTAATTTATAAGAAGAACCGGGCCCGAAAACCATACAACACTACTTATAACAGCTACACGACTTGCATCACTGCCTACAACTACGAGCTCAGCCACGAGCTCAAGTCCAGAAGCAGCTAATGAAAATGAATTCTACAAAGTTCTCAATGACATTGTCACAAACCAGCTACGCCTTCAAGTCATCATTGCCAAACTCATCGAGGACGGCAGCTCCGACTTCCCAAATGACGCAACTAGTTGCCATCGCCGGGCGAGGGATGCTAGACGCAACGCCGATGCCCACGACAATGCCTTCAGGAAGGTTGCGATGCCAAAGGCGCTGTCATCGCCGGCCCACCAATAGGCAGGGTTTCACCAAGGGAACCTGGCAGGGTAGGACGGGGTGGACGCCTCTTGGGAGGAAAGCGGCGCCTGCTGGCGTCACCGTCTAGGCTTTCACCCTAACCTCAACCGTCCTACCACAGTCGGTCAATGGAGCGCATCCAACGCACAGCAAGGACAGCACAAGGAGAACCTCAAGAAGACGCGCCTCTCGTCGAAATGGACCAACAACTGCAGACCACTGGCCGATCTACCATCACAGCACCATCTACGCCGCATCAAAGCCTTCGCGCCTCAATGTCCGCGGCCACCTGCACCGGATCCACCACCTTCACGGCACCGTCGCAGTCCCACAGCGCTCGGCGTCGTGCCGTCGCAGCGCGGACCCTAGTGCACGCCGCAACACCTAGTGCTGCTCCTCCGCCGAGCGCGCCTCGCCGCCGTCGCGCGGTCCTCCCGCGGCCGCCGCACAGTGATCCACACCGCCACCATGGGCCCTCCGTGCCGCCGCACGACCCTCTGCGCCGCTCACCTCCACGCCGCCATCGCATGGCACCTCGCCCCACCGTAGCTCGGATCCAGGCAACCATCCACGCCACTCGCGCAACCTCCGAGTCGCCACCACTACACCTTCTTCGCGTCTCGAGCTCCACCGCTGCTTCCTAGACCGGTAGGGCCGAGATCGGGCTCCAACCCACCGGATCTAGTCGTCCTTCGCAGATCAAGCAGGGGAAGCGGATCCGCCCGCCGGAGCCGAGAGAGGCGCCACCACCATCGCTTGAGGTTGCTAGGACCTCCACTGTGCGGGAGAGAAACCCTACCGCCACCTTCCTCGCGGTCGCAAGGACCTCCGGTGACCCGCTCCGGCAGCGGCAAGGCAGGGAATGGAGGTGATGTGGGCGGCGGTGCTAGGTTTGGTGTCCGCCCGAGCCGCCCCAAGGAGGAGCAACACGGGGGCCGAAAAGTCTATTGCTACATGCCTCACCCGGGGCAAATTTTACTACAGATGCCAACGTTCAAAATCAGACGCCGAAACCACGCTCAGCTTATGATCACTTAGAACTACTAAGGCCCTGTTTGGTTCTAAGCTCCTAAAACTTTTAGGAGCTAAAAGTTTTAGGAGCTTTTAGGAGGCTGCCAAAATCTCCTAAAAAAGTGTTTAGTTCCACCTCCTAAAACTGACTAAAAGCAATAAATGCACTAGCAAAAAGACCATGCAGCCCTCCTCCATACCCCTGCTCCTTCTCTGCTCCCGTCGTGGCCCTTGCTCTCCTCCTCCTCGCCGTCTCCGCGGAGGTGGCCATCTCGACGGATGGGAGCGTGAGTAGCTCCACCACGTGCCGCCGCCTCATCTTGGTCGCGGCCTTCCCCTTGCCCGTTGGGGAGCACGGGTGGCGGCGGGGGCCGGCGGATCCGGCGGCGCGAGGGTCGAGGACAGGGAACGCGCGGGAGGAGGTCAGAGGGGTGGCGCCGACTCGCGCCCCATGGCGGCGAGGAAGACGGAGGGTACATGGAGGCGAGCAGCGCCGCCGCCATATCCAGGTCCAGTGCGAAGGAGCGGCAGACCGGTTTGGGGCCGGCGGATCCCCGTGAGGTGAGGCCGGAGGTGTGGGCGGGCGGGGCGTGGGAGACGGATCCGGTGGGCGCCACGCGGGAGAGGAGATCCCGACGAGGTGGGGCCGCAAGAGGGAGGCATGGGTGGGAGGGAGGGTGGGAGAGAGAGAGAGGGGGGCATGGCAATAAAGGAGGGGTAGTGGAGGTCCAGGATGGACTTTAGGAGCTTTTAGGAGGGGTGGAGCTTCTAAAGTTTTTGGCCCCTCCTAAAGTTTTTAGGAACTTTTAGGAGGTGTTTCGTTCTTTAGGCAAATTCTATTCAGATTTTAGCTCATAAAACTTTTAGGAGGGGTAACAAACAGAGCATAACACTGTACGTACCACATCAACGGAGCCGAACAGGTACAGCATCACATTGAATGTTGTGCACTGTTGAGAGTGTTGGTGCCTCACTGCCTCGCACTTGGGCAGCATGCACGCTGCACCGCAGCAAGGAATGGTCCCGGCAGAGAAGAGAGAAGGCGTGCGATGCTTTGTGCCCTTGAATGGGGGCGGATACTAGGTAGAAAACCGCTCGATCATTCACCGGCAAAAGCTGGGCTGCGCCGCGACCATCATCCATCAGCTTGTCAGATTTCCCCTGCTGCTGCACTGCAAGGTGCAAGCTGGTCCGTGCCCTGTTCGCTTGCCTGATAAGCCATGGTTGAAAATACTATTGACTAATTTATTGTGAGAGAAAAATACTATTTTTTTTACTGAAAAAATATAGTTTATAAGTGACCATATCGCTGAGATCTGAATGCCCAGCCATAATGTCACTGACAGTGTGTGATTCAGCGACTGGTAACCGGCCGGCTTTTCTGCAAAAGCTACGCCGGATTTCTGACGGCAGTCAGCGAAGCAGCTGCCAGCGCAAAAAAAAGTGTTCTCCAGTGATTTCATGGCGCCGAAACTACGGGGAGTACTGTATGGTCGAACTGGTGAGTGCTGTGCTGACGGAGTAGACCTGTGTCCGGCGTGCTGGTGGGCCGCGGGATTCGTTAGTGAGGCCGTGGCCCATTTATCACGTTCCCGTGTAGGCTCAACTTTCAGCCATGAATTCCCCAGGCCGAAAGGCCAGGCCACCTTTGCGGATAGGATTAGTGCAAAAAAAAAAAAAAGGAGCAGACGAGCTGAGCGCAGGGGAAGAATCATCCGAGATAGGCCATCGCGTCTCCATTTTTTTTTTAATTTTGATTGCCTTATATCTTTTATCTATTTTAATTACTAGTAAATATGTCCGTGCGTTTGCTACGGGTTAATAATATAATTTGATGCCAGAAATCATGGTGGGGGATTTTTGCTGTTGACAATGCAAGCAAAACAAGAGGTCTGCTACTGAAAGGCGTTGCAAGATGCGGCATCCATTTAATTCCCTGTTCTCTACTACTACTCAGAATCGTCGATTCTTATAGGGGCACCCATATGCATAACGATGTGTTGATTCTTAATAAATAACCAATAAGCTGAAAAGACTAAAAACAACTCCAAAATGCATCAAATTTGGTACAGTTTCCAAATAGATGGGAGGTTCAGAAGTTCAATCCTTTAAATAAGCTAGATAATCAAAATTAATCTACAGCAGAAGTTCACTTGTCATCATATAAGAACCAAATTATGGACCAACAACGCAATAACTACAGGGACAGCACAAGTGATGGCTGCACTGCTGCAGCGATAGCAAAACCTATTGCCTCCAGCACAACTCAATGAAGGACTAATTTCATAAGACTGATGGTATGAGTAAAACTTCAATAATTAAACATCCATATTAGCGGCATCCTTGAAACTGGATGGTAGACGTGTTCCTTGAGACCTCATCCCCATGTCATGGAAGCTGATTGTGTGGTGGCACCAGATGGAGACCCTCGGCTTGTTCGTGTCATCCACATCACAGGACCACCATCAACCCAGGGTACCAATGCTCCTCCTTGCAGTCAAGGTAACTGAAATTTTGAAAATAAATAATGGCATGATTATTAAATATTAATAGATTAAAGTGGACATGATTACAGAAAATAATGTTATCTAATTTCTAGAAATTCATGTTAGGCTAAGGCATTGGTACTCACTTTAATAATCTATCCCCCCATTGAACGAATAACCCCCATAGAAATGATGCACAATTATCAATCTGACAATCAGTAGCAGTACACTGAAAATCCCGAGATTAATTTATCTAGCATTACACTAAACAACTAATAATCTGACATCTAATTGAGACTTAGCAGGCAGCCGTAATGAACACATATGGTCACATACGAAACCACCAGATCTAGAAGCAAATAAAGTAGACCAGGGGTGATGGAGGAATGAACAGCACTCACATCCTAGTGGAAATTGTGAGCATATTGCAATGTACCCGTGCGATGGAGGCGAGGAGGAGCCTGAGGTGGCCAGCGCCTACAGGCCAATGCTGCGGCGGCAGCACTCCAGCCAGATTGAGTGCAAGCGCAGATCGCTTGAGCACGCGAAGGAGTCAAGCACAAACCTCCTGATTGTGTCGAGGGCAAGGAGCACGCCAGGCCTCACCGTCTCCTGCGCGTCGGGATCGGGACAGTGGATGTGGGTGCGTTGGGCGCGAAGGGGTCCTGAGGATGTGGGGCTGAAGGATATCATCAACATAACTGAAAAAGATGAACTAAATAAATAATTTATATGTTTGAATCGCAATCCATATCACCGAAAAAAAGCGGCAGATTATCATCCTGCATAACTGAAAAAGAGTACTAATAATTTGTAGGAACAATAGAAAGCTAATCTTCTGAAAAAAAATGCACTCAGTTTAGACATTGATTATCCCTGACACAAATTAGATTTAATTCCATAGGCAGGAAAAACATTAGTTGATACACAGAATTGCATATGAGCTATGATTAAAACATAACTGTATTGAAACAACTCTATTGAGTCTCTCTTAAAAGCACTCATATATCAGCTTTTGATAAGTGAAAGTTATGCTTAATTCTAGAGTAAATGTTCTTCACATATATCACAGAGCATCTAAAGATGTACCAGACACCCTAATAACATGGAAAGACCTGAATGAACTGTTAAACCAAAACCAATATCACACTTCATAAAAGCAGTATCAAGACTATCAGCATCTCTAATGAAACTGGAATAGGAAAATGAATGTCAATGCAAAATGCAATTCTCAGATGACATGCTTAACTGTACTTTGCGGACCAATATCACACTTCTCAAGGTCAGGAGAATGAACTGTTAACCCAACACTCACAACAACTTACAGGGACATTCCTATTCAGTTCTGCGGGAGAAAGGGGAACCTCCTCCGCCCACCCCTTGCACATGTGGCTCGTGGATTTCTTCGCCTCGCGAAATTCTCCTGGCCTCCACCTTGTCCTGTTCACCTGCTCCGCTGCTGGGGAAGCGAGCTTCCGGTGACGCTGCATGAAGGGCCGGACCCTTGGTCCCAAGGCGAACGCAGGGGCGGTGTTGGGTCTGAAAATTCCTTGTACCTGAGTGGAAGAGTAAGTTCAGCACCTCGGAGATATGTTTCTAGAAACCTGAATCAAAAACACAACCAAAAGGTTCAACCCTGAGCATTATTCAGCTAATAGTTGCAGTACATGTTATCTATATTCAGATCTAAACAGGGAGCACATGATCAATAAGTACATCTTGTTTACATGTCCACCTCACCACGTCACTTGTTGGCGAAAATATTTGTACAGAGCATCTAATTTCAAACTTCCTTGTAAAGTGTTGATAATGTTCTGACTACAATCACAACCTCCAAAAAATGCAATGAACAATGGGGCTACTACAAAAGCTGAACCAACATGCCAATGTTCTAAAACCAAGCCTACTGGGTGATATAAAACACTCCCAAATTATTGTGATGTGAAGAAACAAAATCTGCAAACTTTTATCAACAAGATTATTTGCTCACAAGTCTTGATGCCCTTTCTTTTTACACCAATATAGGAAGGATAAATGCTTCAATATTTGCAGTTAGGTTTAAAATTCCTCGGCACTACTCTTCTCAGTATCCTAGCCATCAATTATACCAATGTTCAAGTAACCCCTAGTGCTACTCTAGTCAGTACGTCCCTGTTTTCAATTCCAATCCGTCGACACCAAGCTTCAAAACTGGCGAACTGGTTCGGATGCAGAGACTTCGCTGTCAACAAAGATTAAATTTTGTTTTTATATCAAGAAACATGATTCATAGGCTAATTTATAATAGGAAAAAAGGGAGAAACCTGAATCGAACAATAGGAAAAAAGGAGAAACCTGAATCGAACAGGTTATGGAGAACCAATTCGATTCCGTTCTTGAAGAGAGAATTATTATCCTGGAAAAAAAGGGGAAAAGAGAGAAACCTGCATCGAATAGAACATGGAGAACCAAGTCGATTCTGTCTGGGTCTGGACACCGGGAGGCCGATCGAGACGGATGTGTCGTGCGACGCCACCGCTGCAGAGGAGGGAGCGACGTGTACGGCGACCTCCGACAGACGACCGTCGGGAGGCCGATACCTATGGGCGCGGTGGGGGAGAGCGTGAGGACATGGACGACGTGCGCCAGCAGCCGGCCAACGGGAGTCAGACGTAGATGGGCCGCCCGTCGGTAGGCAGAGATGGCGAACTGGCATACTTTATTAGCGCAAAGGCTATGTCAGACGTGTCAAAGTAAGATATTGGAAAGCTCCAACCGAACTCACGGTGCTTGGTGGAGTCATCGGGTCCTAGCTTATCACCACTCTCAATGCTTAGTTTTTCAAATGATTGGCGCGGTGGGGGAGGGCGCGGGGTTGTTGACGGCCGCCCGCCGGCCACCGGCCGCCGGGGACGCAGGGACATGGACGGCGTGCGTAGGCACCGGCCACACCGGGGGCGCGGGGACATGGACGCCGTGCGCCACCGCAACGGGGAGGGGGCGCTTAAGGGAGAGGAGCGTCGGCCGTCGGGCATGCACGCGAGCGACGGAGCGAGTGCGTCGTCAGGAACGCCAGCGAGCGGGCCTTTCACACGCGAGCGATTGGGCTGCCGAAGGCCGAATGTGAGCGAGTGAGACAGTTGCGCTATTGAATGGGCCAGACGAAAAAGAGGCTGAAATTTTACCTTTTTATTATTAGGTATAAATTACTACCGACAAATATGCTCGTGCCTTCGAACGGAATTTATTGTATGGTCACATAGAGCTAGCTCTGTTGCATTTAATTAGGTTTGATCAAGCTTATTTCAACTAAATCCTGAGGCCACAATATATTCTACCCACAATAAAAGATTATTGCATGTATCTGTTGTGAGGTTTAAAATATGAAAAGCTAGCCGCACGTGTCGTCCCAAGTCGCAACGTGCATGGGCTTGGCCTCGGCTTGTAGGTCATGGCATGGGTGGTGAGATGCCTATGAAGATTTTTGTAACTCTAAACTAAGTGAAAGATAACAAACCATGTGACGGTCGTGGAAGTGAGGGACGGTCGTGAAAGCGAGAAGGATAAAAATGAGTGGCAGAAGAAGAACAAGAGGGGTGGGAGTGGGGTATGACGGACCGGGAGATGGAGAAAGATATTTCGTACTTTAATACTATATAGGTATTGTCCATATTTTTTTAGCATCACTCTTTACTAAGTTATCATTCCTAGCATAATGTCAGAAATACGTTGTTGCTAATTATTAAGAACACATAGTAAATATATATATTAAGTAATCCGCAAGCGCACAAATAATATACCATTGTAGCATTTCATCCGGGAGTATACCAGGTATCGTTATTTATATTTTATCGACATCGGTGAGGATGAAGACACTACCTCGTCTTCCGACCCGGCCGGCGGATGCCATCTCGTTCATAAGACCCTTCATTGGAGGAAGTATTGGGATGATCTCACAGTGAGGTGAGGAGCTATGGGGTTGGCACAGAGATATTGGCAAATATATATGCTTATGATAAGATCATCACTCTCATGCTATTGCAGGGGTAAGTCAAGTGATAAATGAATGATAAGTGTAAGATATTGATGGCATTCTAGAGATATAAATAAATACTCATAAAAGTAGTATGGCTAGACAAGAGATTAATTAAGAGAAGTCTTTTGTACACCAAAGTATATACACTCTCATATGTAGCATAATTAACTTTGGATCTATGCATAAGAAACATTACTAAGGAAGATTAAGAACAGAGCTCGTCTCCCTTCACAACCGGGTTCTACTTGCTCTACAAACGGGGAGTAGACTACAAAGGATTCAACGGGAGTGTCACATCCGCGATCTACCACATGACCCAGAGTGTAGAATGCATCCGCATGTAAACAATATCTAAGCACCACGCTTATATAATGTCGACCACTTAACTTACTCGAGTATTGAGCTAAGCGCTTTGAGAACATATGCATAAATTCATCGTCAATCATAACTATATCAAGCATATTACTAGAGCAAACTAGAAACATAATAAATAGCAACATAATATTAAAGTAGCATAAAGTCATAAATAAATAGGGATACAATGATAGCCCAAACTCTACTTGAATCTTACTAGCTAACCTATACTAAAACTTTAAAGAATTGGAGCTCTATTCTCTTCTCTCTGAAAACCCTAATTTCTGCTCTACTCTTGACTTATGGCAGATTACCATTGCTGAGGGAGGGGGGTAGGGGCTGGTATATATAGGACGGAGCGTCAATCCTGAGCTCTTGGATCAAATCGACTTAAATAAACGGCGTAGATGCAATCTTTAAGGCGGTGAAGAACCGATGTATGAAGGAGGGACTGTCGTGTGGGACCAGGGGCCAAGCGGCTGCAGCCCCTCGGGGTCTGCTTTGGTGACATGGCTTTTGGTATCCTCTGGAATCTTCTGGAATAGTTTTCGCTGCGGATAAGTATGATTTTATTTGATGTTTTGATCCACCTTAACGATTTTCTGAATAAACTCTACTGAAAACACAGATTCACAAAAATTCATGGAAATTATTAGTTTAAACCCCTAAGTCTATGTTGGTGATCATTTTCATGCATGATTTTAAGTTATATTAACGGTTTATAATGATTGATAACTAACGTTAACAAGTATAGATATAGATATGGACTAGCGATAAAATCGTTGCATTGCAGCGGAACATACAACTCGCAAACATTCGTAGCCGGACGCGTGATATTCTAACATGTATGAGTATGGTTCATGAGTTTAGGTCACAGATGGGATGAGATATTAAACTAATTACAATCTTATCTCTAATTCATCACGTACTAATATTTTTGGTAAATGTAACTAGGATTCTTACTCAGGGGAATAAAGGGGCAAAACAGACTAGGAGAGAGTTGCGCACCAAAATTTGAAGAAAGAAATGCTTCCCTTTATTGTTATTATTATTGTTCTTGTTTTTGTTGTTGTTATTTTTATTTTTGTAGGAATGAAGACCTGTTTGTATCCTTTCTAATGGGGCTGTCTACCTGTCATTCGGATGTTTCATAGGCTTCCAACGACCGCGTGTTGACAGCCGAGGAAACAACCGATGTCAAGCATAACAAGAATCGAGTGTTTTGATAGCTTCCAGCACACAAATTTTGAATCATCGAATTTTAAACACATAGGTGAGCGCGCGACACTGCAAGCACTACCCTCGCATGCTCCCTTTCCATTTTTAACGGGTTGTGACGTCAGTCTGATGCAAGCTAG